CAGGTTTGCTTTTGATTTCGAATTTTTGTTTCTATTTATTTCAAGGTCTCATCAATAGCTTTTCGGATTTGCGTTTCAATTTGGCTTTCAAGTTATTTTTATGGTTTCGTTTGGGACAGGGTTTGCTTTCGGTTTTCGATTTGGGAATAGGTCTTGCTTTCAGTTTCGATTTTGGGTTTCAATCTTAACATCTTCTTATGTTTCTCTGTGTACAGATGTCATACACGCTAGACCCCAAATGAGAGCCGCTTCAATGCCTCCTGCTCAACCAAGAAGACCTCCTGGAACAAACGCCTCTTCAAGTTCAGCATCTGTGGCTCCTCCAACCAATGTGAGGAGAACAGAAGATGCTTTGCTATGTTCTCCATCTAGAATTAACCAGCCTTACCTCCATCCTGATAAGCTCAATGGAGCATTGTGGTAAGTGATATCATTTACTTAACTATTGTAGTTAATGACTTTAGCTAAGTGTTAGGTCTATTCTAAATTTGTTACCTTGTTTAGTTAGCTTAGTTCAGTGTTAGGTCTAATGAATTGCTTAGGTCACTAACTCAAACCGTGTAGTTAATGGATGTTCTTACATGATGTAGTCTTATCTGATGTTTGTTTGATGCTTATAATATTGTCTTTGCAGGATAGGAGTTCATCTTGAAGTCCATGCTTTTATGAGAGCAACGTGGCAGGGAAACTTCTGGGGGCCGTGGAAAAACTAGACAGTGGTTCCAGAGGAGAAGAGAGATAGTTGGTGGCACTCATTCATTGTAAGTAATCCTGAACCATTTCCATTCTCATTCTTAATTATATACTTTGCTTCTAATCACTTCTCTTCTTTTGTAGCAATAATACTACTGGGAAGACAGATTTCATGATGAAATCTACTTGAAGTGGAAGGTTCAGACTCAAAGGACCATCTGCGGACGCATAAGCCAGAAAAGGAGAGATAAGAAGAAACCCAAATACATCAGTGAGAAAGACTGGGAAACAATCCTTACGAATTGGTCAACACCTGAGGCGCAAGCGAAGAGCGAATCAGCAGCTACTTCTCTCACTTCTGCTCCTCCAGGGAAGAAGATGTTCGTCCATGGTGGAGGACCTCGCACCTTTGCAAATATTGAATATCATATGGTCAGTTTTCCATTTATTTTACTTCCATTTTCCCCTTTATTTAACTGCTAAATGTCTAACTTCATGTTGTTCCTTTTGTTGTAGGTAATTGATTAAGGTTTGGACGGACCACCTTCATATACCGACCTTGTGAGGAAGACTCACACCCGCAAAGATGGGACCTTCATGGACGAACGAGCTGAGGCACTAGTTCTGGAGGTTGAGCAAGAAGTCAAAGAGATGATGCAAGATGGATCTCCAACTGGCGAAGGCCAAACTTCCTCAACTGCTGCCACAGCAAATTCAAAGCGCCTTCTCCTAAACCAAGAATTCATCAAGGTAATAATCTCTCATGCTCATTTTATTTGTTTCTTATTACTCTTGTATTGAACTTGTAACAAGATCATACTGCATTTATATGACTGAATGTTCTTTGTGCTAATGTTATCTTGTTTTTGTGTCCTTTTCAGCGTGGACAGACACGCAAGGGCACCATTTATGTACTTGGCAATGTTCAATACAAGAACATAAATCCTTCTGAGTCGGTCCCTGCTAGTCTCAAGCGAAGCTTGGGCATGGAGATGCGGGTTTGTGACGTGGAGACCCTCGCTCAGGAAATCAAGTCTGATGTTCTTGAGTTCAAGACAGACTTCCAAGAAAAGATGACTCAAACTCAATCAACTCTCAACACCATTCTGCAACTTCTACAGCCTCAAGCTTCCAATCCTTCTGCCTCTACTGCACAACCAACTCAGTCTCAAGCACCTCAAGGTCAAGCTCCATCTCAATCTCAGGCTCAAGGTGATTCACAACTTCAACATGTCATCACCAATAACCTTTCTGAATTAAATAGGTGGTGTAATGTAGAACTCAGTTTGTAGGTTTTAGATGTGGCTGTTGTTTTCCCAAAAATAAGTTATGTATTATGTTTTAATGTTTTGAACCTTCTGAATGTTTGTATGAATCTTTTGAACCTTTTGAGGTTTGAGCTTTAAGAAGCTCAATGTAATATAAATTTGGAAAATTTCTTATTAGCTTTGTTTTTTAAATCGTCATAATACTCACGAAAACACAAACCAAATCGTAGCAACACAAAACAAAGGACATGAAATAATTCGTCTTAAAACCGTAGCAACATTACTATGAAAATTTTGGTGTCAATACCGTAGCAACATTGTTACGAAGATATCATATCAAAAACGTAGCAACTTGCTATGTAATACTTCGTAGCATAATCGTAGCATTTAAAACGTTTTTTGCTACGAACTGAAATATGCTACGATCGTATACAGACGATCTGAAAAAACGTAGCATTTCGTGGAAAACTCTCCATATAGCTACGAAAAAGCATTCATAGCTACGATTTTTGACCGTTGCTACATGGGTTTTTTTTACTAGTGATGGAAAGAGTACCCGATACTTGTGAAGTGGTTAAAGTGGGATGAGTTTAGTGTATGTTCCTGATGATGATAATTGTATATTGTTGAAGAAGACAAATCTGGTTCAGTTGAGTTTAAGAACCGAACCAAGCTGTTCCTACGGTCTTGATGATGTCAGAATCAAGAGAGGACGATGCGACGTTGGTGGTGGTGATGAAGAAGCAGATTGTAAGAGAACGAAGGAGAAGATTTTGGCGTGATATTTGACGTTAAGGTTAACAAGTTCTTTCCACACTAACTCAAGAGTATCTGTCGTGTATAACAAAGATATGAGAAAATAAGTTTCTGAACAGAAAAGCTACTTTTTCTTTTATTTTAAGCATATTCAGCCATTAAAGTAACTATTGTAGTAGACTCTGGAGTGACAACAATAGATGCCAAAGGATAGGTAGAGAAAAATTCTTGAGTAAATGAGCAATGCATAGTTGCTGAAACATTGATGTAATATCATGAAATTTTATTTGGAAGAGTAATTGTTTTCTCAGTTGTATCAATAATTGCCGCAGTAGCAGAAACAACAGAGGCCCTTGATTCAGAGCATGGATATAGCTGTTGTATCTGTAGTTGTAGCAATGGCAATTATAGGACCATAAGTCGTATCAGAACCAGCTCGTTAGGTGGAGGTAGTTCATGAAGAGCTGACACTAGAAAAATAAAATCAGATATGCTCAGAGGCGGGAAAACGGCCCTTTCATACCCAATCTATTGCGATATGTTCAATTCATATCCGACTTATATGGTCGTGCCAAAACATACCTAAATTTATATGGTCGTACCAAAACATACTTGTCTTATAATTTTTTGGCAAATTATATACTAGTGGCCTCATCAGCTGCCACATCATCTATTTTTCGTTCGCGTGGATACTATGTCAGCTAATTTTACTGACGAGGATGCTATATGTACAATTTTTTTAATAAAAACCTAAATAATCATTTAACAAAAATATTTTTTTAGAAATGTCAAATTTTATAAAAAAAAATTATTTAGTTAAATTAACAAAAAATAATTAATTAATTAAATTTTAATTTTATATAAGAAACATATTCGTAAATGCTTCAATCCGATAACAAATAGTCTTTATAAAAGTTATATATGTGTTGCAATTATTAAATTCAATGCTAGTGTTGCAGAAGTGTTACTCTTGATTAATCATGGTTGTGTTAATCTATGTAAATAACATTTTCATGATTAATAAAGCGTAACAAGACTGCAACACTAACATTGAATTTAAATCTTTACAACACAAATAACGCTCATAAGGACGGTTTGTGATAGGATCGAAACATTTACCAATATATCTCTTATATAAGATTAAAATTTAATTAATTAATTTTTGTTAATATTACTAAATAATAAAATTTTACATTTTCTAAGAAAAATATTTTTTTTTAAATGACTATTTATTTCAAAAAAAATTAACATCTTCATCATCAAAATTAGCTGACGTAACATTCACGTGGATAAATATCGATGATGAGGTAGCTGATATGGCGACTAGTGTATGATTTCATCAAAAAATTATAAATCAGATTTGTTTTGACAGGATCATATAAGTTCAGGTATGTTTTGGCACAACCATATAAATCAGGTATGAATTGAACATATCGCGATAGGTTGGGTATGAATCGCTCAGAGGCTGATTTATTTGCTTTTCTATTATGGAACTATTTCTTGTAGCATGACGGTAAGCTGACCCAGCTGTCTCTAAGCAATGACAAGCTTTATGACCAAGTTGACCACAAAGGCAACCATGAATACAACACATTTGCTGACTGATCCAGTTTTTTCTTCACTTTTTGCGGAAAAGGTTTGTTTAGTTTCACTTCCACCATAATTTCTGCCTCTCATATTTGTATGGGATCAAACCATGGCTTACTCGTTAACATAGGTTCTCCGAAGCCTAAAGCAGTCCAGTCTATGTCCTTAATCAAATACAACTGATAAGTCTGTTCTGAAGAGTTAGCCATACCTGTATAGTGGAAATTTCTGTAAGACCAAATTGGGAGGACTCCATGGTAAGACAAACCTCTGAATTAGGACCAAATTAAGCAATCATCTGTATACCAAATACCTCTGAATGACCCACTTTCTTGTTGCTTCATCATGAATTAGATATGAGGATTTTCCTAGCTTACCGAGTGAATATACGGGACACTTACAACCCAAATTCTAGTTGCTACTGCATTTATAAGACCTCCAGAAGGAGCTTTACATCGATAGCACTGTCCTACAAGGCTAGGATAAATTGATTCCCTCCAACAGAGTATGACTGCGAATACTAACATACTGACTTCACTTTTTCCGTCCAAAGATACTCCTGAGAAGCTTCGAGTATGCCCTGGTAATTGGGGCCACTTCCTGCACTCCTCCGCATTGTCTGCTTCCAAGAGCTTAGTGACGACTAATGCTCCTTTGCTGAGATGATGGAGGCTTGACCATCCTCACTGCCTCCTTCTAAGGGTGAACTTTCTTAAGCCAACCTAATCTATTCCACAGTCGTGCAAATTTCTGTGTGTCAATGTGGCGGAACTGAATCTTGAATCTTAGGCTCCACATATTATCAGGTAACCTTGCGAGGTTCCTGCAGTCAACAAATCTCAGTTCTTCAAGAGCAGTCAGATATGAAATGGAGGAGGGTAGCTCTTTAATGGCCGTTCTGCTTAAATCCAGAGACTTTAAGCATTTCATTTTTCTAGACAAGTCTGGAAACCGCTCAAGGCTTGAGCAGCCTGACAGATTCAGTGTTTCAAGATGTTTCAACTTGCAGATACTCGTTGGAAGATTCACGAGGTGTCTGCTGTTTTCTAGATCAAGTTTTTCAAGCAGTACCAAGCCTTTAATCGATGAAGGGATTTCTTGTAACATAGTCCCGCCCAAGTACAGTTCTTTCACATTTGGCGAAGTCTCCGGGAAATTCTCTAGCTTCGAGCAGCCAGAAAGATTCAAAACCTCAAGAGAATCTAAATCAACCGTAGATGGAACACTCTCCAGATTCGAGCAGTCCTTCAGATTCAGAGAAACAAGCTTTTTAAGGTAACAGATAGACTGGCTGATGCTCACCAAACTCTTGCAACCTTCAAGGTCAAGAAACTCGAGATTCTTTGACAGTCTTGGGATTTTTGTTAACTGGTGGGAGTAACTCAGTCTCATCGTTTTAAGCTTTTCCAGACTCTGCAAACGAGAGAGAAACAAACATCAGCAACAACTTCATGGTTTCTCAAATTTGATTGACTTGGTAGTACATAAATTATGAACGTTACCTTTTTTCCTTTCCAAAGTTTCTTCACACAACTATTTGGCAAGTTAAGCTCTACCAAGTTCTTTGGATCAAAGCATTGCGGCAAGGAGCTTACAGGATAGTATTCCCAGTGCAGAAGCCTTAGCTTGCTCGGCAAGTATTCAAGACCTTGAGGTAAATACACTCCATGGTTCTCTATCATCTCGGAGAAATGGAACTTTAACAGTCTAAGGTTACACATTTTCTCGAACACACTGGGAATTGCATCGAATTTCAGCTGCGACATGTCCAGGAAAAGCCCTTCAATAGCTGACGTCCCCTGAAAGCCAAAGAAGAAGTCAGAACAAACCTAAGTGCAGAACATTCAAAAGGACGAAAGATCGCCCTGGTGACTTACAGTGTTATCAATGAATACATCCCTAATATCTTCAGCATCCCACAACCTGCTGCGCTCTCCTGGCCTGTCAGTGGATTCTTGGCGAACAATCTCTCGACCCGTTGCTTGGAGAAATTTAAGCATATCCACCATATTATGCGATATGGTTAACAGTGATTTCTCAACAAGGTTTTTAAATCCAATATGTGTAGAGAAACCACAACCATCAAGCAACGTTGCAACATCGTCTTTATCCATCCCTCTAAAGAAACATGCAATGTCTAAAAATATACTCTTTTCGTTGTTATCAAGCCCACAACAGCTTCTTTCGAATATACCTGGAATGTAAATGGCAGAGGGTTTCTGAATTTCTTGTGATAAGCTTTCAGTGCTCGATCTGCTTAAGAACTGAAGAACCTGGGGATTTCCATTTGAGAATTTGACCAGCTCTGGTGAGTATGTCCTTTTAGGCTTGAGTGAGAAAAAACTCAGACCTGCCCCGCGATCGAGAAGTCGTAGAGCCTTAGAATTATCTAATCTCTTGACTTCGTAGACATGGTTTATTTTGCATAGCACGAAAACACGTCTGTTCCTCGAGGTTACGATTATTCTGCTTCCTGGACCAAAATAGCTAAGTTTCCCCAAAAAGGGTTCAGCATCTCTGAAATCATTCACATCGTCGAGAACTACCAGGACCCTTTTACATTGAAGCCTATTCCTTAAGAAACTTGTTTTCCTGCCAGAAATCCGAATAAAACGTGGTTCTACCTCTAAGACTTCCGACAAGAAGTTCTCTCTCACAGCATCAGGACCTTTTAATTCAATTTCTTGATGAAGGTCCTTCAGGAAGACACAAGTCTCAAATTGGAAAGAGATTCTACGAAAGATTTTTTCAGCAATGGCTGTTTTTCCTATACCAACAGTCCCCCATATACCAACGCTGCGAACATCTGGGGATTCAATGCATAGCAGTGACAAAATATCCTTTATCTGCATATCCATCCCAATCAAAGCATAGACACGTATCACCTTCAAAGCGTCTCTAACAATCTCCGCTACAACTTCAGACTCGGGCCTGCAAGATCTGTAGACGAGGATACAATAATCAAGAGAATGTTAAAAGTGAAATATCAAAGTTATATAACAAAAAATTCCCTGCAATTAGAAGCTGGGGATCACGCACTTATCTGTCAATATGTAGCACTGCATCTGAGTTAATTCCTTCAAAGCATCGTGCCACCGTTCTGGCCCATTTAAAAGAAAAAGTCTCTCATAATACTGGCTGTTACTGATAAAATCAGATGGCGATATCCCATAAAAAATGGGGAAAACCACTCGAGTGACTTTCCATTGTTGTTCAACAATGCTTAAGAGATTGGAAGGGACGTATGTGGAGGTTAAGAAGATGATCAAAACCCTACATGCCGGCACTGCATCCACTTCACCAAAGTCTCCAAGGACAGAAATCCGTTTACGGGAGAAGGCAGCAAGAAGATGGCTAATGAAATCCTCGTTGTTTTCCCCTCTCCTGTACTTAATTACAATATCATAATCTTTAGGGGCAGATGATGATCCACTTAGAAGCTGAGGCTGAGAGGCAATTCTGCTCCTTGTAGCATCTTCCACCAGATTTTCCAAGGAATCTGGTATTGGCATAAAGCCTGTAAATGATGATGGAGTCAAATTCTCAAACAAATCAAGGTCTGGAATCGCACTGGGTAGATAGCTCCCCAAGTCCACCGGCGAGAAAGCTCTCTTAATCCGTTTCTCTTGAGAAGAGTACGGCAGCTCGTAGTCCCCAAAGTCTCTGCCGCGACTAAAGAACCCACGGTCATTCAGAGGACGACTCGGCTCTGTTAGACTCCAATTCTCAGATTCGGGATAAACTGCATAACCAAAACATACAGAGAGTTATTTTACCAAATGAAATTAAACTACTAATCTAAGAATAACTCACATCCTTGTCGATGACCTAGGCACTCGAAGGCGTTAGTAACCGCCTCGGCAACTTCTCCTTCTGAAACTCTAGCACCTAATCGGAACTTACCATCCTTCAACCAGGTCGAATCATCCGTGAACGCGATCTCCCCGCTGATCACCCCGACCCCGTCTTTGAGTATCACAATCAGATCCCCCACGAGCAATGATCGTTTCCCTTCCCGTGACCACAGTATATTCCGGTTGAACACCTCCGTTGTCCAGCTTTCTTCAGTGAGATCGGCGTCGAGAGCGACTATCTCCACACGCGAAGACGAAAGCGAGCCTGAGGTGACTCGAGTGTTTGAGACGGCGTCAACAAGCTCGATTGCTATTGGAGATCCGTCTTCCGCCTCAATCCTTGAAGCCGTGAATATCGTCGGTGACGGCGAGTTTACGAAACGTAGCTTAAACAACGGATGCTGAAGCATCTCTGGAAGCGTTAGCCAGACTAAATCACTAGAAGGTGTTTCTTCACACCACCCCTAATCTCTACTGGTTGACTAAGGCTATGAATGTTTATAGCGGTTCGATAGAAACACACTGCGGGACGAGAAGCATGTCACCATTCATCTACTTTTGTGCTTCTGATTTTATAAATAAAATAATAATAAATTAAAAACCAAAAGTTAACCGCACAGAGCGGACGAGGAACCGCACCTAGTAGGGGTGGGCACAATTACTTGTTACTCGCTACTTGATTCGTACTTGGCTCTTAAAATCGAGTACTCGTTTTGTCCAAGTCGAATATCAAGTCGTTTGTTTCAATTACTTGCAAGTACAAGACAAGTACCAAGTACTAAAATAAAAATAACTACTTGGCGTTGTTGGCTTGTTACTCGTGATTTATTACTTGATTTATTACCCGTTTTTTATTTTTAGACAAACAAATCTCTAAATTATAATCAAATTACTTGTTTATAAAACAAATAAATTAAAAGTGATATATTATAGAAATATTTTAAAGTTTTCTTTTAATTTTATATTTATCATATATCCATTTAAAAACATATGAAAAGTAAATAGATATTCTTTATTAAAAATTGTTTAGATTATAATTATAACTAACTAAATTTTTTTAAATTCATATACAAGATTTAAGTAGCAAACGTTAACAAACTTTTATTAAATAATTATATAATCATTTATAAATTAGTTGAGATGCAACAAGTAGTAAAACGGAGCAAGTACTTGCAAGTATACCATTTTTAGCAAGTACTTGAAAGTGCAAGTAGTCGTTTTTAATAAACTAAGTACAAGTCCAAAATTTTATTACTCGAACAAGCCAAGCCAAGTACCAAGTAAGCCAAAAATGGCAAGTACTTGGCTTGTGCCCACCCCTAGCACCTAGATATGAGAAGACTGTCATATGGTGTGGTTGGTTACTTTTACTGTTTTTAGTTGGGAATTCGGCCAAAAAAAACACGAACTTTGCACGAATTGCCAAAAGAAACCTAGACTCGACCCTGACCAAGAAAATACTATACTTTTGTTGACTTTTTAATTTTATTAAAAAACTTTTGATTGCTAGGTCAAATCACTGGATTTGAACCCGGGTTGGTTAGGTCAAATGACATAGTATTCTACCACTTGGCTAGTGTTACTCTCTTTGTATTCACTATCATAATTTGTTTTATTGAGTATTAGTTTTACATGATTCGAAAATAAAAAAACATACACCCCTAGACTTGAACCCGAGTTTGTAAGGTCGAATGACATAGTATTCCACCACTAGGCTAGTGTTAGTGTCATTGTATTTACTAACATAATTTGATTTATTGAGTACTAATTGAAAATAAAAAATCTCTAAAAAACTTAAAAATACCTTTAAAATTACAAAAAATTGAAAAATAAAGATTATTTTAGAAAATTAATTTTGAAATTAAAATTAAAATTAAAATTAAAAAAACAAAAATTTCATTTTTTCTTTTTTAAAAAATCAAAAAAATTCCAAAATTTTCAAGAAAGTTTAATTTTAAATTAAATTATAAATAATATTTATTTTTTAAACTAAAAATGAAAAAAAAAATCGAAAATTTTAAAACAAATCCAAAAAATTAAAAACTCAAAGAAAATGCAAGCAAATTAAAGTTACAATTATCAACTTAAAATTAAAATCGCACTCATAATGGGTACAATAATTATTTTAAGCATTTTCGTTTTAAATGAAAATTTTGGAAGATTTTTGATTTTTTAAAAGAAAAATGTAATTTTATTTAAATTTTAATTTCAAAATTAGTTTTATAAAAAAAATTCTTTATTTTTTCATATTTTGTAATTTAAAGGTATTTTTAAGGTTTTTAGAGATTTTTTTATTTAGTAAGTACTCAATAATACTAAATATGTTAGTGAATACATTGTGAGTAACTCTATCCCAGTGGTAAATTACCATGTCTTTCAACCCAATTAACCCTGGTTCGAATCTTGGTGTCTACGTCTTTTTATTTTCAATTTACTCGGATGAGAGAATGTTAAAAACAACTATGTTCGTCAATACAATAAAAAGTCTATTAGTTCAGTGGCAAAGCGCCTACCATTATCCCCAAGTGCTCGAGTTCGAATCCCTTGGACCACGTTTTCACATTTTATTTTTAAAATAAAAAAAAAATACATAAAACGACGTCATTTCATCATAACGCCCAAATTTAACGTCGTCAAAAAAATCTGTTAACTATGCTAACGGTGTGTCAAATTGGCCAGTCAATCAAAAGAATTTTAATAAAATTAAAAAGTCAACAAAAGTATAGTGTTTTTTTGGTCAGCCCATATGTACAGATTTCTTTTGGAAATTCGTGCAAAGTTCGTGTTCTTTTTGGCCGAATTCCCGTTTTTAATTATACCTTTGTCGATGAAATTACATTGACTGTTTTTAATTATTAAAAATGTAACAAATACACATGCAATCAATAATATTTTATCAATATAATATACATAATTAAAATTCAAATACTCATTATATAGTTAACACTAAATTATGCTAAAGTATTTATATTTTACTTTTTTATCTCGGATATTAACATTTTTAAAAATAATAAAGCGTACTCGAGCAAAAATTATTAATTTTGATATTTTAATTAAAACATATCAATTGTTATATCATTAATAAAATTACATAATAAATAGCAATAGTAAATTTTGATATTGAATTTTATTTTTTATTTCCAATAAAAAATTAACTTGATTTTATTTTAAATAAGAAGTGTAATTTTAATGATTAAATAAAATATAACATTAGCTATTAAATTTCAATAACAAAATATTAAATTTCATACTTCATATGTATTTATGTTTTTAAAGTAAAATATATATTTTTAGAAAATAAATTTATATATTATATTTATCATGCAGTTACACTATTCATAACACATTTCACCAATCATATTTTAATTTAAACCGCTTATTTTATATGAACCGCAGCTGTTCCGCAGTGTGCGTTTCTCTTATACAAACCGCAGTTAAACCGTATCGCAATACTTAAACCACTTATCCCGCACCGTTCAGTCTGCTATTACCATTCGAAGCCTAAATGGTTATTGGATTTAGGAATCCCCTATAAATTATTTGATAGATGTTTTCTCTACAATCTTTTTTTTTTGTAAAAATACTTTATATATTAAAAGAGGGATCCCCCTATATATTAAAAGAGAAGTCACTTTTGTGATTTCTCAATAGGTGGCACTCATAGAGAGTGTCTAGGATTAATTCTCTTAATCTTATTGGTTGATTTTTTGGTAATTTCTTTTTCGTTTTTTTATTCAGCGTCCAAGAGTTATTTGAGAACAATTTTGATTATGTTTCCAAACACTCCAAGGCAATATACGATTTTCTCTTTTCTCGATTGGAAGAACCAAAAGCTGCGATTTTTCAAGGTTTCCCTTTGATCCCTGGAGTTCGATTTGGGGTTATCTTCTTGATGGTGATTCGAAGGCCGAGCAGAACCAGATGAGTTCGACATATCCTAATCAGTTCCCAGAGTCATTGAATAAAGGTGGATCGAGCTCAGCAAATCGATAGAAGAAGCTTCCACGAGAACGGAATGAACCATTGATATAGAGTACTGCTTCCTCGACAAGTTCGCCGATGTTTTCTTCTTTCTCTCCGTTGGATCGATTTTCGCTCACTATTCCGATAACTGCTTTCTCGAGTACCGATTGCTGATTCTGGGTAGGGCTAGGCCAGCAGGGTTACGAATCGATTTGTATTCATGTCTGCTATTGGGATTAATCTCATATGGGAAAATTACCAATCAATGGTTTTTATGGTACGTTTTCCGAAAGAGAACTCGGTCGATAATTTTTTATGTATTTGTTTGTGAATTTTCAAACTTCTTTTCAGTTTGTTTGGTGGTATGTACATGTTAACTAAAATGTCATGTTTCTTTACTGCTATTATGTTAGTGATGTTTTATATTACTGTCCTCGCCTTTTTAGTTGATCATAGACCATTTTTTGATATTGTGGCAGCTTTAATATGCAAGGAGAAGAACGCATGTAACTTACCGATCACAGAGAATAAGGTCAGAATAAGTACTAGACTACATTATTAAGATCAACTAAAACGAGTGTTAATTGTTTTTTTGTTGCCTCCTGCTGTCTCCCCTTTCTGGAACCTTGGAGTATGCAGACAGAATTGGTCTGGTCGAGAAAGAATTTGTCTGGTCTCACCTTTCAGAGGCCACATATTGCAATTTCATGACAGGGAGAAGTCGAGAAAGAAATACGGTCTGGTTTTTATTGTTATCCAGTTCCAGAGCTGGACGTCTTTAAGGTATATTCTTTCCTCCACAAACGCTTGATTGATTCACGATTAGTGTCAAATAAGTACGAGTGTGAAGTTGGGGATATACCCAGTGACTTCTCCTACATAGTTGTTAGACCAATTTGAAACTTGCAGTTATCTTGGGCCAATGTTCGACAAGAGTTAAACCGAAGATAAATTTCATAGCCTACTTAAAAGATCCCAAACCGGTGGTAATCAATTTTAAAGATAAGAACATATAAGTGTAAATAGGATTACTTTCGCAAGTTGCAAAGTAACTTGTCGCGAGAAATCGTGTAATAAATTGTTTACACCTTTGGTCACATTACTTGCGCAAGTAGCAAAAAGATATGAGAATCGTATATTGTAAGGTACCTTATATATTTTATACTTTTAATGCTAATTGCATGATGAATAAAATCAATTTTTAAATTATTATAACATTTATTGATGTTTTTAATAAAATTTGCAATCAATTTAAATTCAAAGACAAAATAGGGAAACATCATTTATTTTTTGATTCTCGACAATATAAAGATGCCTTATTGATTGCAAATCAATACTTGCGTGAATTAGTATTGATTAAATTCGGTTTCATAATCTTTCTAAATTGGAAAAATTTATTAATTACTTTCCTTATATTCATTTTCGAAAACTTGTGCAAGACATCGACAATTAGATGCAAAAATATGTGCAGACTTCAAACATTAGGATAACTCGACAACATATAAACGCAATCCTAAAGTCTTACATATTATACAATAAATTTTTCTGATAATAGC